TTCCGAAATTAAACAAATTTAATTTAAATTAATTTCCGTTTTTTTTTTCTGACGATACAATGTCAGATGCTCCTGTTAATGATAACTGCAACAAATTTACCGGCTACTTTGTAGAAAATTACATAACCAGTGAGTAAAATTTCCACCAGCAGTGATATTCACTGTAATTCATTTAAAAAATAAAAATCTTTTACATAAATGTAGTGCTTTTTAATGTTTATACAAACGAAAAAAGAGTTATCGGATATATATATATATATATAAATACAAGAAGTATGAAGATGTTGTTTCATTGCATACTATGTTCAAAACAATAAACGAAAAACAAATATGAGAGACAACAACCAGTGAGATAAGAAAAAACGTAAAATTCAGGTTATTCTCAGAATTAAATTACAGGTAAAAGCTCAGGTATATTACGGGTAAATTCGCGCAAACGTAATATCATTTCTTCGCGCAAACGTAATGCTTGTCATTTTCAAATTCGCGCAAATGTAGGTCGCCCATTTTATCAAATGTAAGCTACTATATGTCACCGCGCATTTTTCAACAAATGGCATTACAAATACCATTTAGTTAAATATAAAAGGCACTCTTGACAAAATGTGAGACAATTCAAATGAGGAAACCAACATCCTGATCTATGCAGAAATAATGAAATTGTTCAAAATGCATCATAAAATTTATTAAGCGATAGTTATCCAATGTCTAAAATGCCAATCCGTATTATAAGTTAAAAAAGGAAAAAGTCCTCTATATCAATAACCAAAATGTTGTAATGGTATTTTACTGATTTGCACCCCACCTTCTTTTGAATTTATGTGTTTGAATACTATTTCTGAAAAAAAGGCGGTATTTCGATATTTTGAAAGTCTAAAGTTAAATTTGGAATTTATAAAAATGCAAAACATTGATATTTATAAAAGTCAAAATTTAAAGTGTTTTAAAGTCGAACATTGAAAAATTTAAAAGTCGAAATAATGAGATTCTGTAGGTCAAGCATTTTAAGTTATAGCAACAATTTAGAGTTTAAGTCGAGATTTTTAAGTAAAGTTTCGACTTCATCGCAAAATTGTATTGTAAATTTAATTTTACTGTTGTATTCATTCTTGAGATTTTCCATTTTCATCAATATAGGTTATAACGTGAACATTTCACACAGGAAAGGGAAAATCAATAATCATATAACCAGGTGACCTGATATCTGTAATAATTATAGGTAACTTGCAAACAGTACGGAAGCATGCTTGCAGAAGTTAAATCAAGTTGGGAAAATGACTATTTGAAGACCAAAGCTGCTGGATTAAGTATGTTCATGCATTGTTATACTCGTATTACATTTTATTTCAAATTTTAAAGCAATTGAAATCTTAAAATGTTATATAATAATACTTTGATGAGGTAATTTTTTTAGTTTTATTAACTTTTGTGAAACTGATAAAATGTTTTTGAAAGTCAATTAAACCACCAATTTAATGAAAATAGACAGTGTTTTTTTTCTTTATTTCAAGGGGAAATTGAATTTGAAGACAACAATATACAAAAACGAATTGTACATCAAGCATTTTGTTCAGACGAACGTTTTGTTTTTATTTTTAAAAATCCCTTTCATATAGACATAAACCTACTGTAACATGTGTAATAATATTCATGTAGTAGAGAGTGATTTTTAAAAATTTCTTTAGCACATTTCGATAACCAAAAGAAAGCAGTGCAACCTTAAATTTTTCAAAATCAGAAACGGATTTTCTTCATCGAGAAAATAAAACATTATTTTACACCTAGATTCGTTAAGACTAAGACTAAGACTAAGACCAAGAAAACTTTATTTTGATTCGGCATGGTTTAAACATACAAACATAAGCTCTTGAGAGCTTTTCACCGAATATATAAAACAAACACATAACATAAAAACAAATATACATACATATACAGACATAAAATAAATATGATATACATGCAAGGCAATCAAAGCATACATATATAAGCAGAACATATAAGCACACATAAAATGAATAGAATAGCCTTGCAAAGCAATCAAAATCATTAAGCACTATAAGCAACTAAAAAGTAAATGAAAATTTAAAAGCTATGTGAACAAATTAAAAAAAATACTATTGCATGCACTACATCTACATTCTGATCCATTCCAGGTCTGAATTAAGCTTTTAAACTGGGAGAAGTTATTTTCAGTCCTGAAATGGTCAGGCAAGCTATTCCATAATGTAGGAGCTGCAAAACGAAAAGAGTGTTTGCCAAAAGAAGAAGTTCTTACCCTTGAAATATCCAAAAAGTTACTATACCTGACAGAATAATTAGTTTGTTTTTTTTTATTTACAAGATTATTGAGACAAGAGGGAGCTAAAATGTTAAGAATTTTGAAAGTTTCCAATGCCATAGTCCTGATACGACGGATCTGTAGAGAAGACAGCTCAGCTCTCTGTAATAATCCAAATATGACCAGGTGTAATCGTCATAGACAAAACGAAGTGCTCGTTCTTGCACTTTCTCTAGTTTTTTAGTGTTAGTTTCCGAGCAAAAGTGCCATGCCAAAGGGCAGACATTAAAGTTGCTAAAAATAAATGGATGAAATATAGTAATTTTATTTAGCCAAGAAAGATATGGTCCTTAGCGTTTTAAAACACTGAGATGCTTAGCTGCCTTTCTACAGATATTTCCAATATGGATGTCAAATTTTAGTTGATAGTCAATTTCTATACCCAACAATTTAACTATTTTTTGAATTTTGAACTTCAATTGTTGGGTTCATGTCAAAAGGTTTCTTTCCAACTGCAATCACTTGAAACTTGTCAGGATTGGCTTGCATTTTATTTATTCTAAACCATTCTATCAGCTCATTTGGCTCCAGTTTTAGGGTTCATATGAGATTGTCATAATCAGGACTTGAAAAAGACAAAGTATTGTCGTCTGCATAATTATACAGCGAGCCATATTTTATAAAATAAAAAATATCATTTAAAAATACATTGAAAAGGATAGGGCCTAATATAGAGACTTGCGGTACCCTTTTATGAATGCCAGCCCAACTGCTAAGAATGCTTCCAATTTTAATTCGCTGTTTTCTACCAGTTAAATATGATTTTAGTAAATAGACTGAATGTGGCTTAATACCATATGAGAGCAATTTATCAATAAAATTTGATGTGGAGGCAATCATGTCCCTTACGAAATGCACCTAGATATAGGTTAAAAATATTATCAAAAAAATCAGCCAGTTCGATCTCTAGTACTTTTTCGTATATTTTATATATTAAAGATAATAAACTTACAGGTCTATAATTGGATTTTTGAAGCGCATCATTTTTCTTGAATACTGGAGTGACCTGTGCTTCTTTAAGTCTGTCAGGGAATATCCCATACTCAATTGTTGTATTTATAAGTGTTGTTATTTGAGGCCCCATGACAGACTTACTTAGCTTTACAACCTTAGCTGGAATTCCATCAGCTCCTGTAGCCTTTTTAATGTTTATTTTGTTCATGATCTTGTCAATTTTGTCAGGTGTTATTTTTTTCAAATTCAAAATTTACTTTTTGGTCTCGGTTCTTTTCAATTTCTTGAATACTTGGATGATTTTCTATTTTATATGTGATGTCATTTCCAATAGAGTCTGCTACTGTAGAGAAAAAGGTGTTAAAAGTATCTGCTACCTGTTTTGTGTCATTTAGTATGTTGTTACCTTCTGCAAGTACTATGGTTTGGTCTCCATTTTTAAATTTCTTGGAAGGGTTTTATACATTTCCAAAAATCACATGATTTTGATCCGCCTGCACATCTAGCTCTCTAATAAATAAGTAAGAGTCTTTCTTAAGTTTGTTTACCGAATTTCTTTGTTTATGGTATTTTTCCCAGGTCTTACTGTTTCGTTGTTTTGTATAATTTGTATAGAGCATATGTTTGCGATAAATAGATTTTCTTAATTCACTGTTCATGCATGGCAGTGGTTTCTTTCTGTGTGTTCTTGTCTTAATGGGTGCATGTGAGTTTAGGATGTCAGTTACCTGTTGTTCATAACTCATGTATGCCTCATTTATTTGTTGTTCATGTGTTTTAGTACTAGAGATACTTGGCAGACTTGGGATGTTAATTTTACTAATATCATTGTTGAATAACTCAAGATCAAAATTTCTATACCTTCTATAAGATACATTTTTTCTCAGCTCACCTGGTAAATTTCCCTTTATGGTAGTAGATATAAGGTTATGACAATCGCTTATACCACTAGGGATATTATGCGTATTAAAACAAAGTGATTTTTTATTTGTAAGTATATTATCTACCAGTGATGGTTTACAATTTTTCATAAAGCATGTTGGTTTATCTACAAGCTGGGACATATCAAAAATCTCACATATATCATTAATTGATTTACTTTAAGTTTCATGTAATAAATCAAAATTAAGGTCACCAAAAATCATATAATTTTCATATTTTACTAGACACTGATCTAAGTTTTTTGAAAATGTATCATTAAAAAATCAGTCACTGATGGTGGTTTATACATTCCCATTATTAGCCATTTTCTGTCGTTGATGTGGACCTCAATGGAAATGTTTTCAAGGTCTTTGGACTCAATTTGTTGCTGTCTACTTGACGGGATGTCACTACTTATAAGGGCAAGCATACCTCCTCCAGACTTCGGTTCGGTCACGTCTAAAGAGTTTGTAGCCTTCAACCATAAATAAACTATCATTGAAAGTCTCATCAAGTTTCGTCTCGGCTATAAATATCAGATCTACGATTTTGTCATGTAATAGGTCTTGTATTTCATTAAGTTTTTACCTCAGGCTATTTATATTTAAGAAAGCAGCTATAAAGTTCTTGTGGTGATTACGTCTAGAATCCCTCAGTTGCTGAAACGTGTTTTTTGTGTACACCGGAAGTAGCTTCTTCTAAGTGTGTGTTTGATTGTTCATCTGAGCAAAATTCAGATTCAAATTCAAAATACGAATCTGTAAAATTCGGAAGTATACATTCGCGACAATACCAGCTATCTGTTGACTCGGACAGCCTGTTATACTCATGTTAGGGTTAAGTAGCTGGTCTAATTTATGCAGTATACTAACATATTCCAATTTGATAGTTCTACAAATATTATAAAATCTATTTATTGCATCGATAGACTCTCTTGAAAGCTAAATGACACGTTTTTCTACACGGTTTGTCAAAAACTACGGAGTAATTGTAGTACTAAAACTAATGTGATTCTTTCCCTTCTTACACCATTTTGATCAAGTGATAACGAGAAGTTTTCACAATCATTTTCGTAACTAAAGGTATTTGAACTGATATTGTATAAATTGTCTTCAAAATTGTAACATACTGTGGATTCATTATTATTCGTTGGATACCAATTTTCGTGAGTCTCGTGGGTTACAGGTGAACCACAAATTAAAATGTTCAACGAATTACAAATGTTAATTAGGCTTTGTATGCAGAGATTGGCAAAACCACGAAATCAAATATCCACGAAAATGCAAGTGTTCCTCAATCCACGAAAATTGATACCCAAGCAAAATAAATGAAACCACAGTATTCAGAGAATTATTTTGTCAAAAACTATTGTATATAATTATTATAGAATTCTGAATAGGCGGAACAGACATACAAAATGAGGGTCTTTGGATTTGGTCAAGTAGTGAGACCGAGATCACATTTTTTGACTGGGAGTCCAATCAACCAAACAATTGGGGGAGTATTGAACATTGCCTTGAATTCAACTATCTACAATTACAATGGAATGATAACAACTGCAGTTTCCTTCGTCGATTTATCTGCGAAAAGAGTAAGTTTCTTGTCATAGAAAACACATCAACTTGTTGTCGATTTAGCTTAGAGTGTAGTTCGAACCGTAAAAAAACCTAATAAATTGTGTTTACGGGTAATCGGATTGTATCATCTTTAATAAGATACAACTTTAAATGTGTTATCTCAACATTAATTTGAATCTACAACTATACTTGATCATCATCTATATTACAATTCCCCCTCCCACTTTTACGAGAAAAAAAAAGAAAAATCAGGCAATCCAAACCCCAAACCATCCTTTATCTTTGCCATTTCAATATACTTCTACATCATTTTTTCTATGAAACAGTTTTATCTAAACTTTTGTAATTTGAACATATCGGACTGTTTGTTGATGTCACTTCTTTAATTACACATTTAACCAAAGGAATTGTAAAGATATTACAATATAGAAAATTATGCTTGTATTGCTTAAAGTGTTATAAAATGATTTCTTATTAACCCATTTCAGCTCACCAAAGCTTCTGCTTGAACTTTTCTCATCGGTTTGTCTTCGTGGTATAACATTTCATAAATCTCCTCATCAACTTTGCCAATATGAGAGGGTCTGGATGGGGGTCCTTCATTTCTGTATTCTTTATTTTTTTAGCCCGTTATATTCTCTGTCCATTATATTTTAGCACCTCATTATTCTCTATTCTTTATTTTTTCGTCCATTTTTCTCTATTCTTTATATTTTTTGCCAATTATACTCTATTCTGTGAAAATTATGTCTGCTTCTACAATAATAAGCACAGAGGTGTAAAAATCAATTCTAAAATTTGAAAAAAAATCTTTCATAAATTAATTTTTCAAAATTAAGGAATGATACATATTCCATCCATTAGAGCATTACAGGTGATAATCCATACTGCCTCCAACATGGCCTTCATTGTCATCTAAAATAGATTGTTTAATACAAATCTCAAATAAGAAATTATGAAAAATATAATGCAAATAATACCAGACGTAGGTAAAATGATACATTAATTATCCTCAGTTAGGTTGAATTCAACAAAAAAAATTACAAATTATGTGAGAGATCCATTGCTTCAATGTACCACATTTTGAGTAAACTATACATAAGTATGGTAGCCTGCGATACTTTTAATAGGATTCCTTGCGACATTTTCAATGAAAATGACTACTCTCATTCAAATATGGACGCAAACGATAAGTATACAAAATTCATGATGCTATGATTGCCAATGATACAACTATTTAACAGATTCCAACCGGCGTGCATTTACACAATTTTATGTCATCGAACGGTCTTGAACAATGAGCGAAACCCTTATCGTAAATTCTGCTATAAAGGCCCCTAATATGACATAATTTGAAGCAATTCATACGAGAAAAATTTATCGGCCTGGTTTATCACAAAACAATACTTGAAAAACAGATATGACAGATTATAAGCAACCAACGATAACCACTGATATTTAGTATACATTCTAATTGCTCTATTTGCTCTTGTTTTATTTTCTGCCATTTTAAATTTAAACTTTAATCTTAATTTTTATTATACTCAATGTTTTTTTGTTGAAGTATGTCGTTAAAATGATATTTTTATTTCCAGGCTTATTACAGTAAAGATCTGGAAGACAAAGACTGCCTTAGCTTAGATAGAACATCATCATTACTTGCGCGTTAGAAAAAATGTAATATTCTGCGTATGAAAATAACATTTCAAAATCAAAATTAGTATACACCAAATAATTCGATTATTATATTGCACCCTTGGCTCTTGGTTGACATAAAGATTAAACAGCTTTTAATTTTTATGTAACCCTACAATTCATTTGAAGATGTTCAATTAGAATATATGTAAAATTTAGTTACCAATTAATGACTTTATATTTATGAACTAACAAATAAACTCATCATAAATATCGGGCTTAAAAACTTTTTACGCCAGACGCGCGTTTCGTCTACAAAAGTCATTCTAGAATCAAAAATGTTAAAAAAAAGCCAAAAAAAGTACGAAGTTGAAGAGCATTGAGAACACATCACTTCGAAAGATTTTGCCAAAATACAGCGAAGATAATCTATTCATGGGGTAGAAAATCCTTAGAATTTCGAAAATGTCTGTTTACACTTAATTTATAATTATTACCATTTCAACAAAGTTTTGATTTTTGGACTGGTGATTCCCTCGAGGAGAAAACCTCCATCAGCAGTGACATCGATTCAGTGGTTGTTAATATACTTACCGTAGATACCAGGCTTAAAAATAAATTTTAAGCCAGACCCGCGTTTCGTCTTCAATACTCGTCACATCAATACACGAACGTGCGTAGAAGGTAATAAACCTTTTTTTAAATGAGGGCGCACTTCATATTTGCTGACAACTTCTTTGCAACACCCATTGATGTGAGACGCCAGAGGAGTGAAATAAGAGAATTTGTTTTTTTAAAATGTAAAATAGTCGGATTATATTTGACAAGGAAATCACAGCATTTCATTGCAAACAGTTTAATAGTCTCGTCTGATATTGCCTACGAGAAAGACAATACATCATCAACACACGCGCTAATCTGTAATCAAATATTTTAATGTAATTTTACCGATTGTGACATTTTAACTGAGTGTGAATTCTTATGGCTGTTGATACATGCATAGCAGGAAACGTCTTCCCTGTCGACTCACCCGGTCTTACTCCTTCTGGAATTCGTACGATTCCCTCAGTTTCTGTTTGTTGCCTCTTCCTAATCGATTGACGAGATTTGAAAATCGGTACACTAATGTTGCTGGAAAAAATCATTTGTAAATAGCCTTTAAAGTATTGTTTCAATGAGGTCTTTTCGACATTATCAAATTATTGGATTTCTTTATTAAAAGAAAAATATTAGAAAACCGTCAAAACACAGCTACCGATAAACATCTTGTTTAAAAAGCCCAAATAAACCAATCCATCCTCTTTCCCCATCAATAAGTAATAGTAAAAGTTCAATGATAAGTTACTATTGATATTAAAAGACCGAACAAAAAGGGATGTTAAGATCACCGAGCACGAAGGGCGAGGTGATATTAATTTCAATTTTAAATTGTCATTGAATTTTTACTGACTTACAAACCGTCAAAAACGTAACAAAAACACTAGTACACAAAAAGCACTTGCAGAAGCCTAATTCCTCTGAAATGGACGAGTTTAAATCGGATTGAACTTAAATGATAGTTAAACAGTACTCAAGACTAATATATTCAAATAACAGTTACCTAATTGCATCAAAAACGATGCGTCATTTAATTATTTGATTATTATAAATTTTGTAGCTTTAACACGCCTGGTAAACCATCACATCTCAAACAAATGGTTAAGACTGGCACTTCCTGTTGAGCTTTTCTGGTACAAAATATCAAAAATATAGACGGGGTAGGTCAACTTTTCATCAATTTTAATATTGTCAATCTATAAATATTTTGTTAAATAGGAGAATGTCATGCCATTGATAACTAAATGAGAGATTGTCTCGTTCATTATATAGACCAATGTAATCCAAAATGACATCGGAATGACTTTTCTCCCACAGGTAAATGCGGCCAACTCAGTGAGTTTTTGACGACAAAATGACAGTGAGTTCATCAATACGTAAATTATAAACGTATAATAACAGTTTTTTTTAAATTTCTTACGAATATGATATGTTATAAAATATGTCAGGTTGAGATTGACTGGTATCGGTTGTGATATTCTGGAACAATGTTGAGATCTTCTGTCAAATAAAACTTCCAACTTGATATTTGTTAATCGGATACGCTCATACTTCAGTGATTCCCTATATAATCAACCATTTTTTCCCTACAACCCCCGTCCCCCCCCTCCCCCATGGATCCGCCTATGAGTAATTAATAGCTTCTCTAAAAACATTTTGTAATTGGTCAAGAACTTATAGCTATTCTAAAAAGCTTGTAATTGGACACTAAATATATTATAGCTTTTCTTAAAAGCTTGCAATTAAACCAGTAATACCTTTCTTAAAGTTTATTATATATAAAAGCTGATTATATACAACATAGTTTAACTCCAGAGGCGGATTTAGAGGGTTTTTCAGGGGACCCGGGCACACCCTTTTTTGGGAAAAATTTGATTGATTATATAGGGAATCACTGAAGCATGACTGGAGCGGGCCCCCTCTGAGGCAGTCAGTGGGCCCCCCTTATGAAAATTTCTGGATCCGCCACTGAACTCTAAATTCTAATGGGGTTGCCAATAGACTATTTTCATATTACCGACTTTTGACTCCGGATTTTATAATTTGTCGACTGGTTACATTGGACATCATGGTACCAAGTCAGGTAAGAGCAAGCTAAAGAAGTAAAACCAAGCTTTCAATCGGTACAATTTTGGGGGAAAATTACCTGCTTAACATTTTTTTTTCACTACAAAATCATCGGAAAACAGTAAACTTTCCCCTCAAATTACACCGATTATATGTTTGATTTTACTTATTTTGGTTGCTCTTACTTGACCGAGTACCATGATGTCCAAGGTAACCAGTTGACAAATTATATAATCCGGAGTCAAAAGTCGGTAATATGAAAATAGTCTATTGTTTAATTTTTTCATCAAATATTTATCTTTTATTTACTTTTTGTATGTTTGTTTGTGATATTGAAAAGTTTGGTCCCCTCCTATATTTGTTTCGTTCTTAAAGTTAATGTATGAAACTTCACTGGTGTCAACGTGATGATCGTAACTACAATTACAATCATCCCAATATGGCGGACGCAAATTCAGGTAAATTTTATATGGCCGATTTCTCCACTCTAACAACTTACATTCATATTTGTATCAAGAAACATCTATATAAGCATGGTCATTGAATGTTGTCGAAACGTGGCGGAATTTGATCATTAAGGATTGCAATATTACATTTCAAACGATTCTCAACATTATTGTTTATATACTTCCAATTGAAGTGTTGCTCTTTCGACATTATTGTGTTTTCGGTTTGTTGTGGCTATCTTTATCATTTTTTAGAAAAGGCTTGAAATAAAGAACTTTTGTGAGCACAAACTCTCAACAGATTCCTAAGTTCAAATCTCATAACTCCTACAAAAGTCAAATGATATATATTTCATGTGGATATGCAAATTACCATCAAAAACATGAAACAACCAATACAATAAAAACAATTATTAGGCTAATGAAATGGATTCACACAACACAATAGTTCAATACTATTCAATAAACAAATTTAAAAAATGTTCTCAAAACTATCAAAAATTGTTGACCGACGCTTCAACTCAAATTTCAAAAATAATATATAATAAGAACTAAGTGTTTATCGTGTGAAAACAAATCTTGGAGTGAAGTAAAAAGGTATGTAATTTAACAGGTAAACGAAAGTGAGTAGAATTCAACTAATAATCCAATAAGAAAAGTTATGACAAAATCAGGATGACGAAAAGAATGTAGCATTTAAATAAATAAATTCCTTAGGAACAGAAAAATATTAAAATTCTAGCAAAAATATAAATTTCTTTCTCAGTAATTAATCATTTTTAATAAAATAAAAATGTCCAAATTACTATCAAAAACATGAAACAACAAATACAATAAAAACATTTATTAGGCTAATGAAATGGATTCACACAACACAATAGTTCAATACTATTCAATAAACAAATTTAAGAATAACCAATATAGAAATTCAAAAATTGTTAATACATAAAATTAACCCGCCATACTGAAGGTCAGCCAAAAAAACAGTCACTGTTAAAAGAAAATTGAACCAAGAGTACACTCTTAATTTTAATATAAACAGAATCTGCTAACAGATAAGCCTCCCTAGCGTCCAAAAAAGGACCAAATTAGAGATAAGCTAAAGTCAGCCTTCTGAAAAATTAAATGAGAGAAATCTGCTACAAAAACTCTCCCCCTGCATAAAAGGGGTCAGAAATGAATGAAGCCTTTCTCGTAAAGAGCGTTACCTCAACTCAAATGAGCCAAAGTATTGGCTATAAATTGAACAAATTTTTGAATTCCAGCATGATTCAAATGCAATAGGTCAGTTTTGTGAAATAAAGAGTATATAGGTCTATGAAATCTGTCATAGAAAGAATTGCAAGCGGACATATAGCTAACCTTCACCCATCCTGTTTGAGAAAAATCAAAAAGTTGTGAATTAAAATCCTGAACTAGGCGGTCAGACATTTTAAAATCTACTGGTCTAGGTAAAATGGAAGATAAAATTATTCTACAGGAGGCGTTTACACTCCTAATTTCCTGAATAATTAAATTAATATTAATCCTATATTGATCACTTGTTATTGCCAAAATATCATTAGTGCCAACATGAATTATAACATTACAAAATTCATTAATATTAAAATAGCCATGTCTAATTTTCCAAAGCAAACGTTCACTTGTTATGCCACCAAACGCTTGTATCTCTGTATTCTTTAAATCAGGAAAGTATTTAAAAAACAAATCACTTAATTTCAAAGTGCTTCTGCACCAAGCTTTGCCTCCTAAAACGAGAATAAAGTATTAGAAAACAATTAACAATAAGACATCATTTTGTTTGCCACAATAAGCTTTTCATTCAAACCATAACGGAGATAAAGTTTATATGCAGAACTTTTTCAGTCACCTTGAAGTTGAATTAAATCAGATGGTACACTACATTTGAAAGTCCACGTGGCACCACCCCTTCTAAAACTATGAGTTGAAAATTTACCTGCATCCAAGCCAATACTTGTAATGCATTTTTTCAAAAAAGAATTGAACACATTGTAAGTAACTGGTTTTAAAACACCATTCTTTTTAACAACAAAAGCTGAGGCTGAGTTTGGAACAATAGATTTATCGCAAATGGAAACATAGGCCGTAAAAGGACAAAAAGGAGAAGAAGTATTTCTAACAAGTAGAATTTGCAAACTCCTTTCTCCAAATTGTATAGTTTAAGACCAATTAAAATTCACAAGCAATACATTATGTTTTACAAAAATATCCTACCTCTTTAGACATTTCAACGGGTCATCAGCAGTGCCTACCAAATTAGACTTTCGGCACATAAGAAAAAACGCAAAAAAAAACAACACCAGAATGTATGGTGATTACTCTCCTAAAAATTTAAAAAAAACTAGATATCATTGAGATGGGAGTCATCTCTGTGGGCCCCGCTGTGAATAATGTGTGGTAAAAAATTTGTATCTTTATCATTGGACATGGGTTTGTCAAATGAAACCAAAGTTTATGACCTTGACCTTTGACCTAGGAGGTTGTTCATAAATTATGACACACCCTCTGGTGTTGGTTTATATACATGTCAAGTATAAACTTTGAAATAATAACGGTTCTCAAGATAAAGAGCGGACACGATCTTTACCATGGGACATGAGGTTGTCAACTAAAACCAAAGTTTTTGACCTTGACCTTTGACCTAGGAAGTTGTACATAAATTATGACACTCCCCCTGGTGTTAGTTTATATACATGTCAAGTATAAACTTTGAAATCATGACGGTTCCTAAGATATAGAGCGGACACGATCTTTACCATGGGACATGGGGTTGTCAACTAAAACCAAAGTTTTTGACCTTGACCTTTGACCTAGGAAGTTGTACATACATTATGACACACCCTCTGGTGTTGGTTAATATATATGTCAGGAATAAACTTTGAAATCATAACGGTTCTCAAGATATAGAGCGGACACGATCTTTACCATAGGACATGGGGTTGTCAACTAAATTCATAGTTTTTGACCTTGACCTTTGACCTAGGAAGTTGTACATACATTATGACACACCCTCTGGTGTTGGTTAATATACATGTCAAGTATAATTTTTGAAATCATAACTGTTCTCTAGATATAGAGCGGACACAATTTGTTACGGACGGACAGACTGATCACTTTAGGGCGTCCGCCATCCGGCGGGGCCCTAAATAAATAATATATAATAAGAACTAAGTGTTGGACAAACACAAATCTTGGAGTGAAGTAAAAAGGTATGTAAATTAACAGGTAAACGAAAGTGAGTAGA